TGGAAGAAAAAAGAAGGAAAAGCTAGAGCAACAAATTATTAAGAATATCAAAGTTCTAATTTGGTAGTGCTTGTGAGAATCAATACCCTTGTTAATTTTTTCAATCAGTCCAAAACAATTTATTAAATAAGTATGGTCAAATTATGATTTTAGTCTCTGTAACTTCAATTATCGTGATGTAATTCTTATAATTGTTGCTTTTCGAAGACAATTGTTTATAAATTTTTGACAATATAATTTTTAGCTAACATATGTATCGATAAATTGGAGTGTTTAAAGAAGTAAAAACACCTCAATCAAGTAATTACAAATGTTAAATCGCATTTATTAAAAGTATAATGACCACAATAGAACTTCACCGAGACTACACGGACTAAAAGTTTAGGTTTAATAATTTTAGGAAAATATTATTGGCACTCCAAAAATCATATTCTACACTCCTCACAAGTGTAGTTTTCTTTCCTAATATAGAAAGTTTGGAGTGTAAAATGAGATTTTTGAAGTGCTAATAACAATTCCCTAATTTTAAGGTAAAAAGGAAGCAAACAATTCTACTCAAAAGATAAAGAATAAATTGTAGCTGTAGTAACTTAACTTTAACTTAATCGAATAATGATCATTCAACTAAAAATCCATTATCATGGTCCCCCAACTCACCAAAATGTGCAGCTATGGTTTATCAACTAAAAATCCATTATCATTGGTCCCTTAAATTTAATCAAACTCGAGAAATGGTTCCTCAACTTTAACCCAATTGTAACAACAATCCTTTCAACATAACTTATTTTGACAAAATTCTGATGAAGTTGACGAAAATGATCATAGCTACACGTTTTGATGAGTTGAGGGACCCCAATTGTAGCAATGGTCCTTCCAATATAACTTATTTTGACAAAATTCTAATGAAATTGACAAAAATGACCATAGCTACATATTTTGATAAGTTAAAGGACCAATGGTAATGAATTTTTAATTGAGGACCATTGCTCCAATATAATTAAAATTGAGGGACTATTGCTACAATTTACTCAAAGATAAAAAGCAAACAATCAATTTGTAAAATCAATATCTGATGTGGCACCATCAGAACCGTTGAACCATGATTCAACGGTCAAGATCGGCTTAAACAAAGTAGGGCCTTACCCGGTTCAAGATTATCCGGGTCCGGGTCAAATGCACAATCGTCCATCACAAATCAGAGGACCAACTCCAATAGACGCCTGTTTTGACCCAAGTCGGTCCTCGGAAACATAATTCACAGCTACCGTTAACAAACGTCGTTTGGTTAACACTGTGTGATGTTAACTGGTGGAGGTCTTTTCTCATTAACTCCGTCTCTTTAAACAGACTCCGTTATCTCCCCCCTTCTCTTTCTCTCCCCCCTTTCCTTCTCTATTTCTCTCTTTTCTCAAAATTGGGGCTCTGATTGCAGTTCTCTCTGTAGCTGTTGTTTTGAGGCCTTCCTTTATAGGTAAACTAACGAATCCTCTATTTAATTTTTGTCTTTTTATTTTGGGAATATTTTTTCATTGGGCTAGGGTTTTTTTTTTGTGCCTGATTTTATCCGTTGGGATATTTTATACCGATTGACATTTTTGGTACATTTTATGAGATTCTAGGGTTTTTTTCTGATTCTGGGTTGTCTTGTTTGGTGGCTGAGAAAGTGTAGGAAAATAAAATATGCTAAAAATTGGATCTTGGGAAAATATTGATACGGGTATTGGGGATTCTGAATAAATTTGAGCTCTGATGCAGCTCGGATGTGTGGTTTTGTGATAGTAATGGAATTTATTGAGCAGGGATTAGAGGACTTTTTTTAAGCTTAAATCATGTTTAATTTTATTTTCCTCTTAGTTTTCTAATTCTCAGAAACCAAACAAGGGATAAGCTGTTCTGAAGTTAATTTCTTGCATATAATGGTATTAATTTTGTGAGTAATAGTCCTGATTGATTTCAACTGTTATGATATGGCTTTCAGGTTGTTCTTATTTTGAGAAAAATAATTGTAGTTCAATGTGACATGGATTGATTGATGGGCCTGCAAAAATTTGGAAGATCTATTTGTGGATGCCAATCTTAAGGATTAGTTTAATTTGTGGAATTTGTGATGGATCTGCGATCTTTATTGGCTCATTTCGATATGCTGAGATGTTTGTGAGGTGATTCTATTGGAAAGCGGGTTTAGAGATTGAAACCCGGAAGCAGGAGAGAAGGGAAAGGTTGTGGGAAATCATGGGGGAAGCTCTTCTGACTACCCTGTCCATAGAGAATTCTCATTTGTCTACATTATTATCTATGGATTCGGGTTCTGTTTCGCATGATGAATTGGAAAGAGAGATGAATAGGACTTTCATACTTTCTCGTCCTCCTGATATCAATCTTCCGCTACTGTCTGAGCCTAGCCCACCTCCTCAAACTTGGAATGATTCATGTGACATCTTAGATGTAGGCCTTGGGTCTCAAGTTTATGAGGCCGAGGCGACAATCACTCTCCCCAAAGTTGCAAGGAAATGCAACAAGAGGCTTGATAGCATTTGGGGTGCATGGTTCTTCTTCAGCTTCTACTTCAAGCCTGTTTTGAATGAGAAGTCCAAGTGTAAGATCATTCGGGACAGTAATGGGGTGTCTGGGTACAACAAGACAGACTTACAGTTAGATGCTTTCTTGGTTCAGCATGATATGGAGAACATGTATATGTGGGTTTTCAAGGATAGGCCTGAAAATGCATTGGGGAAGATGCAGCTGAGGAGCTACATGAATGGGCATTCTCGCCAAGGAGAACGCCCATTCCCATTTAGTGCGGACAGGGGCTTTGTTCGGTCTCATCGTATGCAGAGGAAGCACTACAGGGGTCTTTCTAACCCGCAGTGTGTTCACGGGATAGAAGTTGTTCGGTCACCCAATCTCATGTGTCTTGATGACGAAGAGAGGAAGAGGTGGGCAGAGCTTACAGGCCGAGATATAAATTTCTCAATCCCACCTGAAGCAAGTGACTTTGGTACCTGGAGGAACCTTCAGAACACAGATTTGGAGCTTGAACGGCCTGCCCCTCCAAAGAACAATATAAATTCACAACCAAGAAAATTGCTTGATGGTACGGGTTTGAATTTGTCAACTCAGCCATCAGAGCATGTCAACAACGAGGGGATGGACCTGTCACCGGTCTCCAATAAGCGGAAGAAGGATCCTTTTCCCCCATGGCAATGACAATGACTGTTTGCCTAATAACCCACATTTCGACAGATCCGGCAAAGACCACCCAGTTGAGTCACATTGGTTTAATCAGTTCAGTGGGGTGATGAAGAAAGCATCCGGCCCTGTTACAGCCGCAAAAACAATTTATGAGGATGAGGAAGGGTTTTTGATCATTGTCAGCTTGCCATTTGTAGATCTTCAGAGGGTAAAAGTTACTTGGAGGAATACTCCCTCACGTGGGATAGTAAAGATATCTTGTGTGAGTACAGCTTGTTTGCCATCCATTAAGAGACGCGATAGAACATTTCAGCTAACAGATCCAACGCCAGGAGCACTGCCCTCGTGGGGAGTTCGTGAGGGAAATTGAGCTTCCTACCCACATTCCAGAAGATGCTAAACTGGAAGCCTACTGCGATGAGACAGGAACAGTGCTCGAGATTATGGTGCCCAAACGTCGAGTGGGACCAGAAGAACACGAGGTCCGTGTGTGCCTTCGCCCCTCTCCCTGGAACGAAAGGGAGCATCTGTTGACCTGAAGCAGGCATTCAGATGACAGATGCAAGAAACATTTTTTACTGTCTCATTGTTTTTCTTTAACTTGAATCCGCCGATGAAATCTATTGAATTAAATCTGATTTTTTTTCTTCTTCCCCCTCCCCCTTTAGGTATTTAAACCCCCTCCCTAAGAAAAAAAAAATGGAAAAAAGATAGCAGCCTTCCTTCTTCTTTTATTTTCATACAATTTATCAGATTGATATGTTGATTTATAGATGTATGTCAAGACTGCTGTGATCTTATGCTTTATTTGGCCATATGCCCTTTGCTCGTTCTAGCTCTGCGCTAAAAATCGCCGTGCATAGCGGTTTCGGGAGTTCGACGTTATTATAAAGTTTGCATTCCCATGTTATGTGTCGGATTGAAGGTTCTTTGTATAAAGGAAATTACTTATGTAACCTATTTTCTTCTGCATGAAATTTTAGTGTTTTCACTCGGTGTTCGGTTTGAGTATTTATCAAGTATAGTCAAAACATAACCCTTAATTTCAAAAATGTTACTTTTTTTTTTTATAAAATCTTTCAAAAATATCCAAAATTTCACCTAAATAGACACAAATATCCTCAAATTTAACAATCAAATAAATTAAAGGCGTTTTAGCCAAAATGATTCGTGATATTGACATAACTCCTTAATCTGGTCCTTAACAATTAATGATAATCAATAGTAGTGTTCTTGAATTTTTCTATTGTTAATCATTTTAGTCTTTCTTTGAATTTGTTCATCGTGATCATTTTAGTTTTTTAATAAAAAATCTGTCAATTACTATGTTGGTGTAATGATGTGGAACCACGTGGATCTCACAAATACAATCATATAATGACATGTGGATTAACTTTAAAAATTATTTTTATATTTAAAACTAAAAATGATATTAGTAAGAAATAGGATGTTGAAGGCATGATTGAAATTCTGCCGCTCCCACTTGCGGTAACCGCGGCGGCACTCAATGTCGGTGATGAGGGGGTCGAAGGGGATAGGGTTGTGGGGGTGGAGTGTAGAAGCGAAGGTGAAGTTGGATCGGAGCTTGAGGCGATAGTAGCTAAAAAGAATTTAATTTATTTAATTGTTAAATTTGAGGATATTTTTGTTTATTTAAGTGAAATGTTTTATATATTTCAAAGTATTATATAAAATGACATTTTCGAAATTAAAAGTTAATTTTTTGCTATATTTGATGAATACTCGTTCGGTTTTTCGATTAGATTTTACGAGCAGATTGGATTCGATTTAAAGATAAAACACCGGAATTCATTCATTGTTGCTTCTTTATGGCTGCTCTGAAACCAGATTCAGCAGCAAATTAGGAAACATTAACATTAAACTCGGATCCGGAAAATTCATCAAACTGAATACTGATCTAATCTCAAAACTGCATCTTCTGCAGCTTGCTAATTAGAGCTCGCCCGCGTGCTCCGCCGACATCTCAATCGTGTCTGGGTGGCGGTTTCTGATTTCCGATAGGGTTTGGCCCTGACGGCTTTTTGTGAACACCTTGAGGTTTGACCAGCTTTCTGGATTTGAGCTGTTAATCACAGAAACAAGAAAGTTCTTTCATCACCGAACGAACAACGATTACATTTGGCAGACCAAAATTTAAACGACAAGAAAAAAGAAGCAGCAGCAGCAGCAGCAGTACCAGGGCTTACCCAAGTTGCCAACATGAATCTTGTGGTCACCAAACTCCGCCTTGCCGGAGAAGTTTCGAAATCAAGCCCTGCAGAAAGCATTGAAAGGAAACAGATCATGAGCATGCATTAATCCGATTCAGAATCAACGTATCGGATTACAAAACAATGTTTTAGTTACAAGTTGAGGACTTGCCTAACTCGGCATCTGCATCTTGAGCTCTAAGCATGAGCAGTGCAAAAACAAGGTACACAGCAGCTTGTTCTCTCTTCATCTTTGGAAAGTGATTGGTTTTTTGCATGGGAGGATTGAGAGTGTGTGGGGGTCTCGTAAGCATGCATGATTAGATTTATAATTGGGTTTACTTGTTCGTTAATCATAACCCAGTTTGAAAATGATGGAATGCCCTCCAAAACATGTCTGGGAATCCAATGCCACGTCTTTAGAGTTAATGAGCACCTTGTCATTGTATGTTGACTTCTCATCCACTGTGCACCATTGACGCTAATAAGCAAAAGGTTTACAGAATTTTTTTTTAAAAGACGTTCTTTTGTCAGACTGTGAATTTGAATCACTTATTAGGTTGAAATCTTTTAGTTGTGAGGTTCAGATTTACGATTTGGAAACATGGCAATACCATCAAGTCTCTAAAAACATAAGTCCGACAAGAAAACACTGCTTGATTTATATTCCAAATCAGAGACGGTTGTTACAAGAAGTTGAATAGTATTTGCAAGTGAATTAATTAGGGAATTTTCCACAAGGGACAAGATTTTTCTCAAGAGAAATGATGTTTCATGCCTCCGTTGACTTCATGATTAGATTCCGATGTAGCTTTATTTCATAGGCTATTCCTGTTATGCTTGTGATTATAAACCAGAAAAGAACGGAACTGGTTCCTCTCCTCTCCTGAGTTTAGGATGGGGATTCTCATGAGCAGCTCATCCAGATCGTTTAAATTTAATTCAACAGCTGTAATTATTATAACTTTTAGAAGAGTCTCTTATTTGAAACCGTTAGATTAAAATTCAACGGTCCAAATAAGGTACTCAGAAGGATCCTCATCTTGAGCTCAGGAGAGGATCCAATTCCGAAAAGGACAAGGTTGAGTACAGTTCGGGTGCTCCACACTTCGGTCTTTTATGTGGACCCTAACGAGTGCAAACTAATTATTTACAGGATTACATGTAACTGACTTAGATGACGTGTACTGTAATCATGACATTATGTTTTACGTTACAAAGTAATGTGTGAGTTTCTCTTTTGACGCACTCAATCATCCACATTGCTACTCAGCCACACAAACTTTGGCAATTGGCTTAGTGGACTATGATGGAATATCGTAGAAATGGCTAGTTTGTTGTTGTTGTACTTTAAAAAAAATACACTTATATTGTGCTGTGGAAAGAATCAACTGTGAAATAAAGCAATTAAGTGTTTGGTAAATTGGATTTGCAAAAGTGCTTTGAGTCCAAAAAGCAGTATCAAAGTGTTTAATAAATTTTTATATAAAAGTGTTGTGAATATGTATAATGATTGAAAAACCAAAGATATACAGTAATGGTACGGTAATTGTCCCAACCTGAAGATATTTGATATGGTGTTGGTATCCAAAATCAATATCGATGGTAGCAAAAACTTGGTATGGTAATGGTACTAAATTACCAACAATTTGATATGATAAATAATACAGTAAGTGTACCAAACTCACCTCTAAAATCAAGTGCTACTAGACCAACTGAATCACATACGAGACTATCATCTGTTGACTCTATACATTACACTCATATAAGATCCGCGTGAGAGAGTAACCTCTTTTGAAACACCACCATCCATTTTATTCCTGTAGGAGGAGACTAGGTCCCTAGGACACAAGTCACACAGCCTTTGTCAAATGGCATAGTGGACTAGTATGGACTATAATGAGTTCCATGTGCTAAGAATTTTAGGTCTCCTTGAACCATTAACTGATACAGCATAAAATAATTTCCGCGTAAAAAAAGAAGATCCTCCACTTCCTTTGAGATGACTAAATGAGAAGAAATTAATCCAATCTGCATTGTTTTGAATTTGCACATCCAAATGAGTGTTATAATCTAGGGTATACAATGTTAGCGAACACGTGAAAGTTTTCAATAAGGCTTATTTTTAGCTACGCTCTCTGGAGTTTGATTTGGATTCTACTTTGTTTCCTAAAACGCAAAAATAGTCACTTTGCTCTCTGAAACTTGATTGTCATCTCATTTTGCCTCTTGAAACTTAAAAGCCATCATTTTACTTCTCGGAACTCGATTTCGATCCCACTTTGTTACTTGAAACTCAAAAGTCGTCGCTATACTTCTTGAAACTCAATATTCAATTCACTTTTGCTCATTTCCATGTATTCCGTTAAATAATCGTTAGACTTACTTATGTGGCTTAATTAGAATCCACTTATGACTAACGTGACACAAATATAATGCTCGGATAATCAATCAAGTGGTAACACATAGATTAAAAAAAAAATTAACTTTCAAACATTGCATAAAATATATGTATATATTTTTAAAAGTAAGAAAAATAGCAAAAACTATTCATGGGTTTCATCTCTCTCTATCCCCTCTATCTAACTGTTGTCCATACATTCATCTCTTCTCCTTCCATATGCAACCACCTTATCATTAGTTCCATTGATTTCGTTATTTCATATGTTCTTACGTTCTTATGTTCTTATGTTCTTAATGGAGGTGGCTGGCAAAGAGAGAAGATGATTTTTTTTTTTTTTGTTCTTTTTTACTATCATTTATTTCAGGAGAAATTTGACACATTACCAATTATAAAGTTTTAATGGATGAGCTTATTCTAAAAAACATAAACAAGGCAATGCAGAGCGAAGTTTAAATTTCAAGAGGGATTTGGTGAGTTTTGAGTTTCAGAGAGCAAAATATGATCAAAATCGAGTTCCAAAGAGTAAAGTGACGATTTTTAAATTTCAAGGGGCAAAGTGGATCAAAATCGAGTTACAGGGAGTAAAATGACGATTTTTGAGTTTCAGAAAGTAAAGTAAGATGAAATCGAGTCACATAGAGCGTAGCTAAAAATAAGCTTTCCAACAACAATAAAGTGACACCCACATTGCAATTCTTCAATTTCCCACCACACTTTTTTCTATTAGGTGCTTGCAAGACGTTTGTGGCTCATGTGATTAACTTGTGTCTCAAAATCTTTTTTTTTTTTATATATTTATTTCCTCATTTTAAGTAACACCTAAAACGAGTACTAGCGAAAAGGCAGACTTCTACTAAACACTTGTGGCTCACGTGATTAACTTATCTCTCGAAATGGTTTTGTTAAACTCCTCTTTTTAATAACGCTTAAAATTGACCTTTAGTCACTAGTGGTAAAATATAATTAGTATCCTAACTAGATTGGATTTTTATAATTCCTCAATATCAAGGTCCACTTCTTCTTTTGAGAAAGGTAAAAAATAAACAAAATTTGTCACCAATTATATGTAACAATTCTAGTATTAAATGTACAAACTAAAAATAATATAGAGGTAATTTGACTTAAAGAAATTTTTGGCTTTTTTTATTAGCACCTGACAAAGTGTTGAATACACCTCACATTAAAATTTTAATATTAAATGACTTATATATCTAATATGTAATGACAATTTCAACCTTATAGGGTTTAGAAAAGTTAAAAAAAAAAAATCTAAATACACCTCAAATCAGTTTTAACAGTGTATATCTCAAAATTATTTATCCTTTTCAAGACTTCAACTCTCAAAAACACTTTCACCTTCTTTTGTTGAACACAGTCACTGATGACTGATTCATCAAGGCCATTGTTGACCTTTATCGTCAAACGTCTCTCAATTGGTTGTCAACAAATAGGGTAGCGGTTTGTTTGGAATCTCAAGAGCTTGTCACACACATGCATTGCAGCAAGAAAAGAAGTCCAACTAAAAATCAATCAAGGTGAAAATCCGCCATAAATTACACTGAGGTTGATTCAAGTAGATTAGTTTTGGGAATATAGGATAGTTATCCAAGTCATGGGCAGGATGGGATGCCTCGCCCTTCACAGCTATAAGACAGATATCCAAATCATCTACTTTCAGTAACTCTGTATCCTCAAACATTGAGAAGTTAATCCCATTTTTGGGGGGCTGTCTGAACTTCTAGCCCAGACCATGTTCAAAATGTACCATCATAGGTGGATAAAGGTTAAAATGTATTGTCATTTTTTCATTGGTTAGAAAAAAGTTTAGCAAATCCTTGTTGCCAAAAAATAATTTAGGGGAAAAAAGTTGAGCAAATCCTTTGTGACATAAATGATTTTGTATCAAACAACATAAGAAGAAAGAAACCATTATGAAGAGAGTGGAGTGTATGTAGAAAATGTGGGGTGTATGTAAAAGATGTAGAGTGTATGTAGAAGATGTAAGGTGTATGTTGGGAGTGTGGGGTGTAAGGGTATTATGGAAAAATATTGGGGTGCAATAAGATAAATTTTAATTAAAAAAATAAAATGTGGGATGTATTAAGTATGTGGGGTGTTAATATAATAAGCCAAAATTTTTTTATCTCTACTAATTAATAAAACACTCATTGTCAACCAAAACTCTATGAAATTACCGGTTTAACCATCTAATTAAAACAGAACATTAATAAGAAATATGAGGCAGAAATGTAATTTCACACAATCAAATTTTGCTGTTTTTTTTTTTAAAGTCTCACATACATGTAATCCTAATATATCTCTAATTTAAAAAAATTTCTCACACACTTTGTGTGTACGCATATGCTAGTGTTAATAATAAAAGTGAAAAACCACTAAACTTGTTGTAAATTATGAATTTAATTATTTACCGGTTGGGGTGGCGGGAGTGGCATCGGCATAAGTGTTAAGTTATAATTTATTGATGGGTTGAATTTATCGTTCGGTTTGATTCGAAAAACAAGTCGAGTACAAACTCTTAATCTCTATATGTAACAAAACCCACTCCTTTCTCTATAAAAATCCAACCCAAAATCCTCTCTCTCTCTCTCTCTCTGCGTTTGCCATGGCTGCGACTCCTGCTCCTGCTTCCCAAGCCAGCCTCCTCCTCCAAAAGCAACTCAAAGGTTACACCTTAACCACAATCCATATATATTTGTGTTCTCGTTTGTGAAAATTTGTTTAACTGTTTTACCCTGTTTTATTTTTTTTCTCTGAATATTTATGTAGATCTCTGCAAAAACCCAGTTGATGGATTCTCAGCCGGTTTGGTGAACGAAGCCAACATCTTCGAATGGAGTGTCACGATTATTGGCCCACCCGACACTCTCTAGTATGTTATTCGATGTCATTCCCGTTCTTTGAAACATGGTTTTTTTCGAAATTCAGTTTATGTCTTTTGTTTTGGTGCATGTGTGTGTTCTTTTAACAGGTTGATTTTCTTTTGATATGACTATAAGGGTTTGTTTGAATTCATGTGTTTAGTTTTGGGTTCTGATTATTTGATGGAATTGGTTTCAAAGTTCATATCTTTTACTGTGATGATTAGATTTTGGTTTTGCTTAAAGCATGAAATTTGATTTGAACATGATTGGATTAAGTGGTGTTTGATTTTTCGGTGTTTGGCAGATGTTACTAGAAGCTAATTAATACATTCTTTAGATAGTCAAGACGAAAAAGTGTTTCGGATGTTTTATTTTATTTGAACATGATTGGATTAAGTGTTGTTTGATTTCTCGGCGTTCGGCAGATGTTACCAGAAGCTAATTTAATGCGTTCTTTAGATAGTGAAGACGAAAAAGGGTTTCAAATGTTTATTTGATTTTGACATGATTGGATTAAGTGTCGTTTGATTTTTCAGTGTTCGGCAGATGTTACTAGAAGCTAATTGTTGCATTGTTTTGATAGTGAAGACAAGAAAGGATTTCGGTTTTTTTTTTTTTTGGGAACCGAATTCTTTAATTGACCTAGTTCATTATAATTTCTTTGTTGTAGTGAGGGCGGTTTCTTTAATGCCATCATGAGTTTCCCCGAGGATTATCCGTGCAACCCTCCTGTCGTGAGATTTACCTCAGAGATGTGGCACCCCAATGGTGACTGTCTTCTGTATATTGTTTCTGAAGTAACCTTTGCATATTTCCTTTCCTGCCTTTAGTTCATCGTGATCAAACTTCCATGTTTTTTGCAGTTTATGCCGATGGAAAGGTTTGTATTTCAATTCTTCATCCCCCTGGTGACGATCCAAATGGCTACGAGCTTGCAACTGAGCGCTGGAATCCAGTCCATATAGTATGTACTTATTTGTCAATATACTTTATTATTGCTCTGTGATTTGATGGTTTCACTTGTTTAGTTGTAGCCATAATCCTAAAGATTTTAGGGTGCAGTGTTGGCTTGCAAGTTGCAACTGTATTACCATTGTGTGGTTATAAGCACCGGATCAGTCCCCTTTCTGTTTCAAGTATATAACAATGAAATATTAGAAGGCTGTGCGTGTTTGGATGACATGTTGTTTCTGGATAAGGAGTCGAAACTTGGAGAGTTACAGATATGTAACTGATCAAGTTTGTGTGTGTCATTAATACACTGATTATCTGATGGCAGTTATAATTGACAGTGCAACTTGGTGGTGGCTAACTGGAAGAGCAATTCCACCCCTAAAGACTTTGCAGCATGCAGTTATAATTGAAATGAGATTGTCACAGGACTGAATTGTACAATAGCCCTGTGGGTGTCACCCTAAGCCAGTATTAAGGTGCTTGTTCCTAAACCCTAGCACAACTCTAGTTTAGACAAAGATTGCTTGAGTTGGGTTCGGGTTTGTTATTATATTCTGCAGTACATTTTTTTACCTGCATGATGCATTGGAAACTAGTGCATCGCTCGATTGGCAAAGTCCTAATCATTAGTCATTATTATATGTGCTAGCAGCTTAGCGCCATGAACCTCATGTTTGTTTGCTTCCTGTTCCTTTGTCTTGAGGAGGAACCGTATGAGACGAGACAAGCTTGCAGTATAGTGACAGAATCTTGAGAGTTGATGATACAGTACATATCTGAACTTTCTGTATGTTTCAATCGGGAGTGCTCAAGTGAAGAGAGTTGTGATTTAATCTTCAAGTTGTCTCTACCTAGTGTTTTAGGTGCTTATGGAAAAGTTAGCACTGGTGTCCGGGACCAACTCCATCTTTTACAAGGCAATGGAATCAGTTGTTTGAAAAGTGGGCTTGTTGCAAGTTGAAGATCTGTGACACTGACTTCGGAATGGCTGTAGGAAACCACCAGTTTTACTTCTATTGTTGTTGGAGAAGTAATGATGAAGTTGTGCCCTAAATATAGGGTACATACTGAAAGTTGTGGTGAACTCGTAAAACGGTTGTTTATATATGACTCTGAGGGATGTCTTTAACTGGAGACAGTTGTGGATGTGTCTATATTATCGAATGTAAATTGTTAGTTTTGGTTCTGGTTTACACACACAGACCGAATGTCCCAGGCATTTTGTTTAATATTTTATGCATCCATACTATTATATGAACATAGTTAGCGTGTTCGTATTGTTGAGGATCTACTGACGAATTTTTTGTTTTTCTGCAGGTTGAGAGCATTGTTTTGAGTATAATCTCAATGCTTTCAAGCCCTAATGATGAATCTCCTGCGAATGTCGATGCTGCGGTAGGTGTTGTATTTTATTGTCTTTATGTTTTGATTCCATGATCAGTTCTTTTGAGTATTTTTTGTTTGACACTACTTTGGATTGGACATTGGAGTTCAATGTTCACATATAGAACGACATGGTATAAATGCTTCGATTTTGGAAGTTAGTACTTGTTGATAACATATTTTCTGGGGCTCTTCAATAATTCCTAAACCCTACCGCTTCTTAATTGAAAAAAGGAAATGATTGAGGACTATGCTTTACATGTACTGCACTTGTTAGTCCACTTGGTTTTCTTAAAAGTAACATCGAAGCTCACAAATTAGACGTGATTTTCTTCCCAGTAAAACACATTGGACAGAAACATAGTTTAAGCAGCTTTTCCGTACATCACAATACTAGGATTCACTGTCATCCAGGCTTGTATGTATTGAATTTTAAACAGTGAAGCCATAAGTGTCGGTTCAACTGGTTCAACCGGCGATGCACATGAATGGCTTATCTTATTTACTTGTATACGTTGTGGTAACTTTCTAATCCGCTGACACGTTAATTATGTGTGTTTGCAGAAACAATGGAGAGAAAGTAGGGAGGAGTTCCGGAAGAGAGTAGGGCGGTGTGTCAGAAAGTCTCAAGAAGTGTTATGAGTTCATTGCATAAACTAGCTAGATATCATGCAGCCAGATATACTTCTGTTTTGTTCTGTTTGAGGAAATGGAGCTGTTTGCAACAAGACCGTGCTTGCGTCCGACGCAACTGCTGTTGCTAGCAACTGGGTTCAAGTTCCGTCTTTGAGGGTCTGTTTTGTTAGGAATGTCTCAGACTGCAAACTGTTTTGGTTTTTGTTTTTGTTTTGGAAGTCTCAAACTGTTTGTTACATTTTCATATTTTCCGGTATGAAAAAAAGTAACTTCGTTTGGAAAGCCAATATGAAATCATGACTGAATGAACAAGTGAACGGTTTTCAATGTGAGTTCCCCACCAACCACTTTCATGACAAAAGTAATCTATCATTGTGACGTCTCGTGTCAATTATAAATCATGCGAAGTGAAACTTACATGCCGTGTCGTGATATTGGTACGGGAGTTGCCATCAGAGATGGGACATTCCAGTCGATTACGTCTTTGAAAACTTTACCTGAATATTGACCATGGGAAATGATGAGCATTGACAAATAATTGAGTACTGTTAAAATCAAAAGCACTTGTTGATGTGTCCATACACAAAATAGATAAAACATATGAAGTTGTTTGAGAAATTACAATCGAATTTGAACAAATGCTATACTCAACAAGTCATGATGAGTAAGAGTTTCATACCTCTACCCTTTTTTTTAGACCATCATCAATCATGAAGGCTAAACGTATTCTTCAATTACGTTTTAGCTCTTCAAAAATTAAGTTCTACACAATTCTTAAGGTTAACTTTTCATCTCCAATGATGTGGGACCAAATCTTTACATCTTAACTTGTGATACACATGTAAGGGCCTGCCAAGGGGCTTAAGGACTTGCTATGTAGCCAGGAGGAATGGCTATGTAGCCAGCCTTTGGCTAAATTCGATTCTTTTTAGCAGATTCATTGTGGTCTTTGACTAGAGATAGATTTTTCACAAATTTTAGCTAAAAGTAGTCTATAGCCCTTGGCGCAATGAAAACAGCCTTGGCAAAGCGGGGAAGCGCAACGAAAAGATTGTTCCTTTGTAACTAAAAAGTTACGGATTCAAGTTGTGGAAACAGCCTCTATGTATAACAAGAGTACGACTGCATACGATTGACGTTGCTCCTAACCTTTGCAAAGCAATGAGCCTTGTTAGCTTGAGTTCGCCCTTTTTTTTTAAGTCTATGCACTTGGCTGTAGATGGCCTTATATCTTTCTTTTAGTGACCTATAGAAACAATGTGGGACAAAATCTTAATTGATGTGGCAAGAAGGTTTGCTAGTCTGTCACTTATAATACCCCGTCATTCCCATGCTTGTATCTAAAAGCGAACGAACAATTACTCGCATAATAACCGGAGTAGGATTCTCTCCCCTTCTATTTCTATCCTCTTCCCTCCCCTCTTCTCACACTTTGTTTTTTGTCTTATTATCTCTATAAAAAAAAAAATCATATAAGATATTGATGTGGCTTAACCGTAACCGTATAAGGAGGAAAGAAAATGGAAGAAAGATTAGGAGGGGAGATAATTCTCCTCCATAATAACCACGTAGCCTGAGAGATATGGAATCACAGATTTCTTGACAAAGGGAAGAATGTCAGAGACGACACCTGAGTGGTGGTGACAGATGATAGATGGTATGGAGAAAGAAAAAAAATCATGAGAAAAATGGTGTCCGTCTCGAATTTAAAGATGGTCACGGGATTTCCATGGATGTCTTTAGGTTTTCTGGTTGCAATTGCATGCTACAATGATGAAGGATTGGATTTGGTTGGATTTGAAAATATTTGTATGTGAAACTGTAAAAATATTGGTTGCGGCGGGCTGGGAAGATTATATTCTCTAAATTAATGTGAAAATCGACTAACTACTCACATTTCGTGATGAAGAAAGAAAAAAAAAGAAAAATCTCTTTTAGAGATGATAAGTTGTAAAATGATCTTAATTTAATTACGCACTATTATCCGGTATAACTTTTTTGCTTGGTTAAATGAGTTTCTGACATTCAAAAACGACTTTCTGACTGAATCTGGTGGAAGAACTTCCAAGTCCTTCTTGAATAAGCACTTGTAGGTGCTTCTTAAAGAGCACTTGAGATTTAATAAACAAATTTGAATGTTTTTCTAAGCACTTTGAGTAAAAATATTTCTTACAAAAAAAACCTCAAACGAGCATCGTGTAATGGACTTTAGTTACTAAACACAACAATATTACGAGGATAGTAGGCAAGTCCTCCTCTATATGAGAACAACTTATACGGTACATATATCCTGTTACACAACATGATATATTCCATTTTAAATAAATAAAGACGTGTATAAAAAAAAACTTACACATTCTTATTTTATTGACATAAGACATTCCCGTAACAACGTATCTATATTATTAAGTATGGATAGAGACCCCAAAACCAAAAGGATAGTTATGAAGAAAAGTAAAACCAAAAAGGAGAGAAAAGAGGAAACAAAGAATAGAGGGAAAGTAAAAGCAAAGCTTGAACGCCCCCCACAATACTCCACTACCCCACCCACACACTCTTCCTGCCTCCCTCCTTCCTCCTTCTGCTTCCTGTCTCTCATGTCTCCCTGCTCCTCTCTCTCTCTCTCTCTCTCTCTCTCTCTCTCTCTAAAACACATCCTTTTTAGCTTTTCTTAGCTCTCTCTCTCTCTCTCTCTCTCTCTCAAACTTTCCCTCTCATTTTTTTATCCTCTCTTTTCACTCATCGCCTTTCTCCACCCGTGACTCCTCTCCTCATCACCACCAATTTCTTCCCCTCATGATTTCGCCCCCTCAAAATCTCCCACTCTCCTCCTCCAGCAGCACCAGCAACCCGGCAAATCAACCCCAACACAGCCGCCATGCGCTCTCCTCAGCCTCACCGCAACGGCGGCGACAATCCCTTCCACTCCACCGTCTCGCTCCGGAAGCTGAGGCGCTTCAACTACCTCATCCTCGTCTTCCGACTCGCCTCCTTCAGCTCCTCCCTCGCTTCCTTCGTCTTCATGCTCTCCACCTCTCGTGCCGCTGCCAACTCCCCCCGCTGGTACCACTTCGACGCCTTCAGGTACCAATTTCACTCTTACCTCCAATTTTCTTCCTAAATTTCGCTCTGTTTGTTTGGTCGCTGAGAAAATGCAGTGGAGTCGAAATTCCGAAAAAAGTTTGAATTTTTTAAAAATTTATGGCGCTATTCGGCTCAATTTTCGAAATCTCCTTCAAAGTTGAAACTTTTAACTTTAATTCGTCCTCTAAATCAAGGAAACAATTGTTTGACCAAAAAAAAAAAAAAAGCAAACAATTGGAATTTGTTTTTGGTTCGATTTTCCTGCACTTTCTGAGTAACCAAACAGCCAGATGTTTTCCACCAGAGAAACTGATTGGGTCAAATTGGAAAGAACAGATTCGTTGTGGGTGCGAATGCAATAGTGGCGCTCTACTCTCTCTTCGAAATGGTGGCTTCCGTCTGGGAAATTTCCAGAGAATCCACTCTCTTCGCCGAGGTCGTCCAGCTCTGGTTCGACTTCGGCCACGACCAGGTCCTCCATTTTCTCACTCTTCCCTCTCTCTCTCTCTCTCTCTCTCTCTCTAACTATTTTAATTAACTTTTAAAATACAGTTAATCTTAAAATTAATTAATTAGTTAAATTAAAGAAAAAGGATTAACGAGAGAGGCGCGATCGTGTAGGCGTTCGCGTACCTGTTGCTGTCTGCAGACTCGGCGGGAACGGCGTTGGCAAGGGTTTTAAAAGGGATGGACACGTGTAAGGCGTGGAACGCGTTCTGCATACAGGTGGACATCTCGATCGCCTTGGGCTTTGTGGGGTTCCTGTTCCTGGGCTTCTCATCTCTCCTCTCGGGCTTTCGGATCGCCTGCTTCATCATCAAGGGATCTCGTTTTCATCTTTAGAGAGAGAAAGAGGCAGAGAGAGAGAGAGACAGAGAGAGAGAGAGAGGGAATATTTGGTGGGTGGAGGTGTTGATGTTTTACTGTGCGGCCGTAGTCTGATTTTCAGACGGGATTGACTGATGATGTGATCGAGATAAGAGGTGTGGGCCCTGCGGATGTAGCTTATTTTTCTTTGTGTGTGTTTGTTTGCGTGACGACGACATATTGTGTATAGGAGAATCATGAATTCTTTATGCATTGCTAACTACTACTTAATTTTTGCTTAGCATTCTTTCAATGTGCTAAGCTATAGTTACAAGTTATGTTAGAATTTATCAAAAAATTTAAATCGGTTTTACGAATTTCTACAAAACATCATCAAAAGACTAATTTTTATGGTGAACCACTACTTGTGAATGTTTTAGTGGAGAAATACTAGAGTAAAAGAAACTCGTGTCGTATCATGTATTAGATCGTAACGCACACAAAAGGGCAACGAGTGGCATGAGACGAATTTCCCTACATAAGAATCTTTGTTTGGATGATTATGAGTCATTGATATATTGTGGAATCTGCCTCCATCAACAACCCATAATCGCTCATGCACTAGTGAGACCAAGCCGTTTATGTTCTTTGGATCAACAACTTACAACATGAAGATACGGGTCGGACTAACCACATGCTCGTTTGATGGTTCGGTCTGGACTAAATCAATTAAAATTAGTCAACCGTCTAACATATTGTGTCTTAAAAGTCCTACCACGAGAGGTAGACTCTACAAAACTCACTTGAACTCAACTATTCCAGCCACCAAAATGTACACAAGTGTTGTTCGCGTAGAGAATCGATTTTCGCTTCATTGAGCACCAAAATTGAAGGCCTTAGGTATACTAACAAAATTGAAATGCTACATTGTATCATCTATGTTTTTTTTATAGGGTGCCATATGGTCTCTCCATAAACACAGACACACAAAACTCAGTTTGTCAGTTGCCCTCGTAGTTTGGGTCGGCCGTCACGTAATGATAAACAATCAGTAGAAAAAATATGAACATGCCAAGTAAGTTGGCATAAATCTCCAGGCCTTCATCGTCAATCATCTGTCCAAAAACGAATACAATCAAATGAATTAGTATCTCGCTACAAAGTGTCATATTCTTTCTTCAATGCACATTTTCATGCTTTACAGCACAATCTATTGCACACAAATGCCCCAATAATCTCTGGATATTGAACGTAAACGCCGTCTAGTAGCGCTGTAACAAACAGAAAATTTCTAAGGTTTCCACAACAAATCATGACCGCCAAAAATACGGTCGTCAACTGGAAAAACATAAACTCTAGATGCTTTGGTGACATGCACACCGCCAGAAAGACAAACGCAAGGTTAGGAAGGTGTTAATCGTGTGTGTATGTATACGATTCATATGTACACAAAGATATACAAACCAAATGAGGTCGAGAATTGATTGCATATCTACATAAAACTTGATATGGTACAAAAAGGAACTACGCTTCACAGAAACCTCAGACCACGACGAGCAGAAGCATCTTTGATCGCTGGGAATACATTCTTCTATCGGGTTTCTTTTTCGAGAATAAATCCAATCATATCCTCTCGTGTATTATCCTTCCAAATGTTACACGTTTGAATAATTCCATGCAGAGTGGATTCCTACAGTCGTAACTGATCCCGACCACAAAACCCCTCCGTGTCCAGCTTAGATATGGCACGTAAGATCCACGAAACCCCTCCCATCTTCGGTTGACATTCCCACGATCTTTTCTCTTTAGCGAGCATCAACACGTCCAGAGTACCGCTGTCTCCGGATACCTTATTGCTGTGGCATCGTTGTTGATGGAGCTAAAGCATATTTTCAATGTGACATTATCCATATCCAGAATAATTTGGTGGCAACTAGAATCTCATATCAAACATTTTATCTTCCATTTCCTTAAAATATAAGAACTACCGTAATCTCCGATCCTCGAAAGTATGAGTTATGTCACTTGTCAGCAGTACTTAGCAATGTCTTTGTCCAATTTTTCTACCCAGTATCCAAAACCCTTAACAGAGAAGTTTAAAAAAAAAAAAAAAAAAAAAAAAAACCAGAAATTGGAAAATGCATAAGGGGGGAACGATCGCAGTGGGATTCGAACCCACGGCCTTTAGATCCGGAGTCTAATGCGATATCCACTCCGCTATGCGATCATCAGGTATTCAGATCAAAGCAAACGGTTTTCTAGAAATACATTTCTCTAGCTAAAAAAAACACCGAACGTCTAGGGTTTTACACTGACAATGACAAACGCAGACAAATCGCGATTGCAGAATACATGCTCGAAAATAATTACGATCCAAAAAGTGGAAACCGTCAGAAACGTTACATCTATGATCTGCATTGGAGAGAAAGAGAGACGGTACCTTCAATGGCGAAGGTCGAATGCGAAAACGCCAGAAGCAGCAGCGAGGAGATGTTCAATGTCAAAGAGCTTTGAATTGTAGCCGAAACGAGACGATAGTAAGTGGAGCAAGAAGAACCGCCTTTTATCGCCATTTCGTTCCAACCCGAAACAGCAAAATAAGTCAATTTTCCATAGTCCGTGCGGGGCGTTAAAAATGTTTCTACGGTTTTCTTTCTTTTATTGAAGTTTTAATGTTAATGGTCAAATTTTGTAACTGTTCTTCGTCAATGCCTAGTATTGAGTTGTAAGAAATATTAATAACAAAAACCACGATAAGTGATCCAGTAGTAAGAACGCAATCTGCTACTCTTCAATAAACAAAAATAATGTGGAAGGTTTCGGGTTCAATTTTCCTAGCTGATAAGTCGGCTTGATTGTGGTCAATGACAGGATGAAATTTCCCATAACTTCTCCGTCCGAAAAAGATGAATAATCGTAATTTGCAACAGGTTGTCTTCCTTTTAAAACAAAGAAAAATATTAGTAACAAAGATCCACAAAGTTATGAAAATGAAATCAAACAGTAGACATGTAGCACTGAATGTTAGTTACAATTGAAGCCACCCTCTTTTGTAATGAAATTAATTCGATAGTTATCAGCTACGGAAACTTGCATAATCCCTTGAAAGATTCATTTGTGAGTTATTGTTTAGAAGGAATTATTTTGATTAATGGCATTGATAAGGGACTATAGTGAAACTTTTATAATTATTTGAAATGTTTTAATTAATGAAAAGAAAATAAGTTCTCCTCAACATAAGAGCATCTCTAAAAGAGACGTCAAATTCAAAACATCAAATTTAAATTTAATGGCTGACTTGATAATTTGGCATATTGTCAATATTTTTCTTCCACTCAATATGCCAAAATTTATTGTTTCATTAACAAAAATAATAAAAGTTGAGTTGTTGTTGGTTTAAAAATAATAAAATAATAGATTTGGATCCTTTCCTGAGCTTAGGAGACTGAGCCTCCTAAGCAAAGCACACAGGCCATTAGATTTTGATCCAACGGCTACAATTTTTATAACTTTTAGAGGCCCTCCCTATTTGTAGTCGTTGGATTAAAATCTAACGGCCCGTGTGCTTTACTCAGGAGGCTCGACCTCCTAAGTCAAGAGAAGATCCAAATCCACTTAAATATGCTAACATTTAAGGTAAGCAAGTGGAATGTCTTAGGAATTAGTAAAAATCAAATTTGAAGGCAATTTTATATTTGACATATCTTTATTCATGTTAGCTTAGCCTTCCTTTTCATGTCATCTTTGATATCTCAGTTGGAGTAAATGGTACATCATTTATTATTGTTATGTGTCTATATAGCATTTTTGACATCTGCTTTAAAGATGTGTCTAGTTAGGATCCTAATTATGTGGAGACATGGTCTAAACATGTTGTTTGCTAATTTGAAATTGAAATTGAATGCCTAGAACGAACCAAGTTGATCTATCCATCATCACATATTTTCTCGTGACGTTATTCACACATAATTCTGAATTTTGAATTGTCAGATCAAATAAATTAAAAAAAATTAATGAGCAAAAATTACAAAAATATTAAAAAAAAAAAAAAAAACGTGTGAATAGCAATACTCTTCTCTCATATGGTTTTCGAGAAACCATAAAATATTGGTAAAAATAAAAGCTTAAAACTAAAGTGTGGCTGCTGGGATTCGAGCCCAGGTCTCCACGGCCACAACGTGAAATTCTTACCACTAAACTACAGCCACTAGGTTGGCTGTTTCCGCCCCAAAATATATATATATATATTACATTTCTCGTAGAAAATTAGTTTTGGTCGTCTTTTATTTTTTGACAATTGTTTTGGTCGTCCGATGAAGAACGATTGCAAGCCAATCAAGCGTTGGATCTGACACAGCGGATTACCTTTTTGAGGAGTAAGGTTCTCGTCCTTTTTAGTCGCATCTCCTTCTCTCTTCTCTTATTCTTACTTTTATCTTATTTTTATATAAAAATTAATGTAAAATATTGACGTGATTTAATCTTAATCATTTAAATAAAAAAGAAAATAATGAGAAATAAATTAGGAGATGAGAGAATCATTATTCCAAATTGTCACGGACTTTCTCTATACGTCACTTTAACCCTTACAATTTTATCTCTATCTGCCGTGGGATATTAAATTCTTACTCTCATTGTACTTCCAAGTTTATTGAGAGTTAACTGATGAATCATACAATGGTTGTTAGGAGAAAGGATAAAATATTTCTATGAATTTTTCCGTACCAAAAGATACCACCACTACAGAACCACCAGCTAGTATTCTATTAAAAGAAAAAAAAATTGTAATTCATCGAGTAAAAATCTAATGACAAAACCAAAAACATTAAAGTAAAATACTTTCGACCGAAGAATTCTTTTTTAGATAATTAGAATAAGCTTTTAGTACAAAAAGAAAAGCTCAAGGTTTATCTTAAAAAAAAATATATATATTATTAACGTTTCAAAAATCTTAATTTACTCTCATCTTGTATTAAAACTACATCATCCGTGACAGTGATTTCTGCAATTTCCAAAAATCTTCCGAACAACCGCGAATTTCGGTGACCACTCAAACACAAACACAACAAATCGTACCTTTGAGGTTCCTTCCGCTTCGATGCAGTCTAGGAAATAATAAACATCAAAAACAAAAAATTTCACACCTTTGAGGTTCCTTCCGATTCACTGACAAAGAGAAGAGCTCCAGTCTTTTTCTATTTTTCTGAGGTATTTTACATCGATTTTTACCACCCATTTATTGTTTTTGGGTATTTTTTGATTTGTTGGGGTGAAAATATTTGTTGGGTTTGTGTGAGATTTGGATTTTGCAGATCTGGGAATAATAGTTGTGGG